TGGGTCAAAATGTTGGTACATTTTGGTGGAAAAAAATGAAAATGAATGACATCTGTATATGATGTGGCATGTGTTATTAAAAATATTAATAAAAGGCTTTTATCGTTTTTAAAGGAATGGACAATTTTTGGGAAACATTTGATTTTTGCTTTGAATGTCCCTAAAATCTGTTCCGTAAGGTTCAACATGCAGCCAGTTTCCAGAAAACTGGAACCTGAAAGAGAGAGACGGTTCTTTCCAAAGGGGAAAAAAGCAACTATTAACATACGGTTATAAATGTTATTAACACAAGAACATCAAAATATAACAAAACTGTTACGTGAATGAAAAAGAAATCTTTCACACCCACAGCCGCTACGTACCAACTTAAAGTGAACTCTAGCAGAAACTTTGTACATTAAGAGGCAAAACACAATGGTTAAAGCAATACATAAAGCATGTTGTGTGCAGGTGAGTGAAAAGAGCAACACAAGGTTGTTTATTTGACAGATTAGCCAAAAATATAAAAGAAAAACCTCACAAATGATGTTTAAAAGAGGTTCTGTGGCTCCACACAAACCTCATATGAGCCTGTAATCAAGGGAAGGGAGCCTGAGGTGTATTGACAGCCTTTTTCCCATTGCACATACCCCCCACTCCCATCTCTCCCTAGTTAAAAGAGGACGAGTGTTGTTCTGCAGTCAATACAAACTCTGTTAGCAGCTACCCACAGTAACCTCGGAAGGTAGAGGCAGTTTATAACTGAGACTGAAGGCACACACTGGAGCAAAGTGAGCCACAGTTCCTGCTGTATCCACAAAATACAAGCAACCTGCAATGAGCGCTGATGATGCAAATCGGCGCTTGTTGCTCTTCTTTTTTTTGCAGTGAAGTGTGAAATGGCGTCACCAAACCCACCAGCACCAATTGCAAAGTCAACATACAGCAGGCTGTTCCGGAGCGGGAGTGGTGGTGGGGGGAAACAAAGAATAACAACACAAATGCTCCCAGCATCGAGTTAAACTGCACTTTCATAAACCAGCTACAGACGGCTCACAGAAAACTGAAGGTTACAGAACATAAAGTAGACTCAGCTTCTTACTGGCAGCAAGCGGAAGGAAATAAGACAAAATGTCATAAAAACATAAAATATATCCACTACAATATATTTAATTATGGATGGATGGATATTATATTACCGGTACATTGTGTTATATTTAATTGGTATTAAATTTAATTCAAAATCTTACTTCTAACCTACAAAGCTCTCAACAACCTAGCTCCATCTTGTATTTGAGATCTTATTGTTCCATATTTTCCTAACAGAGCACTTCGCTCTCAGACTGCAGGCTTGCTTGCAGTTCAGAGTTTCCAAAAGCAGAATGTGAGGAAGAGCTTTCAGTTATCAGGCTCCTCTCTTGTGGAACCAACTTCCAGTTTCTGTCCGTAAGGCTGACACATTGTCCAGTTTTAAGACTGGGGTTACGACTTTCCTTTTTTATAAATCAAATAGTTAAGATTGGCTTGTTATGCTGCCATAGGCCTAAAGGCTCCAGTATACTGCCGCGTACGTCCGTTCACGCGTACGTTCACTTGTACTGTACGCAGAGGGTTCAGACATGATACTCCAGCGTACACTCCAAGCAGCTGCAGAGCAGCTTCACAGACAAGGGGCGTTTACCTTCGGGACAAATTGAGGTCACCGATTGGTCATTTGCTGACATGCCTACTGGATTGATTGACAGGTCAGAAAAAAGAAAAAAAAGCGAGCGCTGGCAGCCTCAGCCGCAGCGGTGTTCTGTGTTTATATGTTGTTAATAAAAAGATCTAAAAAAAATAAAATAAACAGAGAGCGTTGGCTCTACAGCCCACACATCAGACCAGCCCACCAGGAAATCTCCAGACCCTCCTGCAGCAACGCTGGACCTGAGTTTAATTCGCTTGTGACAAATTCCTCAATTTCTCACCATTTCAGTCATCGCATCAACGGAGAAGGATGTGATCACTTGCCTCTTGGCAAAAAACAAAAGAAAAGGCCAGATCAGGGATGAAGAAGGGGAATTTAATACATTGGTGTCGCATACAAAACAGTCCGTCGCTGGGCAGTTTATTGTGCGACACCGCGTACACGTATGCGTTCATAAAAATTTGAGCTTTGCACGGACATGCCCTGGGGGGTACGCTCGTACCTCTGCGTACGTACGTGCGTACCTCTGCGTATGGATGTACGCGGCAGTATACTGGGGGCTTAAGTCAATAAGTATTGACTACTGGGGGACAAATTGATCTTATTTCCTTTAAATGAATTGTTAAAATTTAATAGTTTTCATTTGATACTATTTCTGTCTTAGCCTATGATTCTCGACCTGCCATTCTGTATCTGTTCCTCTCAAACCCAGCTGGTTGAAGCAGATGGCCACTTGTCCTGAGCCTGGTTCTGCAAAAGGTTTCTTCCTCGTGAGGGAGGTTGTCCTTGCCACTGTTGCCTTCATGCTTGCTCAAGATGAGAGTTCTGCAATGAAGTTAAATTCAAACCAATCGCAATGAAGTTAAATTCAAACCAATCTGCTCTTCAGATAAATAACACAATTGAGCAAATTTTCTCAACGAGAAGACCGGGAGAAGGAGAGCCCTCCTGCCCCAACGGGACACTCGCAGCTGGATACACTATGGATTCCTGGGGGCAGTGGAAGATTGTGTGTTTACATTGTCAGTCGAGGATGTTGAAGATGCATTCATAATTGGATTTATGGTAACAGGATTTCTGCTTTTTGGATTTGGTGATTACCTGGCATATCAACCAATTTGGAAAAATGTCGGCAGCTGTTCTGGCCATTGTGAAGTTGCCTGGCCTGTGTGAGGGAATGTGTTGTGCTGCGAACACTCAGACTCAAATGCTTTGTGAGCTGAGCCATAAGTTGGACGCAATTCTTGCTGAGAATCACAGGCTACTCGCAGCACCTGAATCTCGCTGGTGGGAAGGAATTGACCTTGGAGAAGTTACAAGCTCGGCTCGGCGAAACTGACCACAAATTTGGCTGTTTTGAGTCGCCATTGGGATGTACCAGTGAGACTGTAAAGGTAAACAGAAATTAACCGGAGGTGGCCTGACCCAAAACTGTTATCTGAATCCGGTTCCCCATTGTTGGCCTTGGAAGGCTGCATAGCTCAAATATAAATGCTTTTGCTCAGTGCCCTGAGATGACTTCTGCTATGACTTGGCGCTATAAAAATAAACTGAATTGAATTTGCAGCACGGTGGCGCAACTGGTAGAGCTACTGCCTCTCAGCGAGCAGGTCCCTGGTTCAAATCCCGGTCCGGGGGCATTTCTGGTTGGAGTTTGCATGTTCTCTCCATGCATGCGTGGGTTTTCTCTTGGCACTCCGATTTTCTCCCACAGACCAAAAACATGTATGTTAGACTGATTGGTGATGGACTTGCGACCCGTCCAGGATGTACCCCGCCCCTTGCACAGTGGTTGCTGGACATGGGCACCGGCAACCCCCGTGACCCAAAATGGAAGAAGCGGGTAAAAGATAATGGATGGATGAATTTAAATTGAACTTGATTAAGAATAAATTAACCTACATTTATTTATTTATACTCTTATTATGCAACATAAAAGGTGCAATACCTGCTTCAAAGGACTGTCTTCATATGGTGCGGCTAGAATTAGTATGAAATACCCTTTTTAACTAGCTCTCTGCTGCATGCTGTGCCACATGAGTAGCATATTTTCTGAGCTGCCATGCTGAGACTTTGGGACTGGTTTAATCCTAATCCCATACTGAACATCTCCCAAGTTTATCTGAGTCACATGTGAGGTCAGGGAGGCTCGAAAGTTTGAAACCAGACAGTGAGGATAAGAGTTTATTAGCCGCCAACAAAAAGGCATCATCAGGATTAAATCAACAGACTTGAATGCTGAATGTTCATTGATACATCGTGTGATGGTTTAAAAACAAATCTGCAGTTTCAAGAAGTTTAATGTCTCGGTTACTGTGGTTTTAAATCTCAGAGGATGGATCCTTTGTGGGAGAAAGTAATTACAGAATTCATTTCAAGTCTTCTTGTGTGCTGTAAAACTGTTGTTGTGAACATAATAACTCAAGTATTAGGCAAACTATTCAGGTTGGCTTTATGTTCATACAACTGAAATGGCTGTTGCGTGCCACAGAAAAGTGTTGTAATTATAGGCTCAGTTCAAGATGTGCCAAATGGTTCAAACTACCATGTTGCCACATCACAGAGAACAAAAAGTCGGAAGTTGGAAATAGAAAAAAAAAGCCAGGCTTACTGAGAGACAGGGAACTGTGTGCTGGCTGTCATCATTCTGTCGTCGCTATCAGACCCACAAGTAAATGGGAAGTGCAGAAAGTGAAGAGAATACTGCGCGTCTTTCCTACGAGTTCTTCTGAGATCTAGAGGTTATAAATCTGTCTCTCCCAATAACAGCTAATTTACAAAAAACACACTTCTCTCAGTGATCTTAGTCTGGAGTAAATTGTTTTTTGTTTTGTTTTTTCTTCTCGGGAATGTCAGTTCTGAATTCATCCTGTGCCACATCTCATGAGGAACACTGACATGAGAAGATATGATTAGACAGACATGACTCCCGTGTGCTCTAATTTAAAAGAACTGAATAAGAAAAAAAAGAGTGTTTTAGCTTATCTGAGAACATTAAGAAGTTGATTGACACCCTCTTATTGGACTCCGTTAATACATTTTTCTTGTCTTGAATTTAAGCTCCCATTAGGAAGCCCTTAAGGGTTTTATTTAAACTGTATAATTAAATGTGTTGGGTTTGTGTCAGAAGTGCAAAAAAAAAAGTCTGTTGATTGGAAACATCATCAGCACTGGCTATAATCAGCGCTCAAGGTATGTACAACCACAAAAATGTGCTAAGAGTGAAGACGGAAATAACAAGCGGTAGCCCCCAAGGAGTTCAATACATAGATGGAGAAAAGTCATTGACAGTATTGGTAGAAAGAACAAAGAAAAAGGTTTTTTTTGTTCTTACCTGTAGGTTTGTTTGAGGAAAGGCTCCCTTCCTCTTGAGGTTTGCATGTGAGCATCTGTCTGTGCAGATGTACTGCCTCTGTGGAATGTGCAGCATTCCCCAGACCCCCGTCTCCTGAACCGCTGCTGAGGCTATCCACATGCCCCTCTGGTCCGCTGACACCCTCCAGGACCATGTTGTCTTGAACCACATCCACCCCCCTGCTGGGCCTCCTCTGGGACTCCGTTCGAGGCGGGACGAGTAGCCTAACGGAAGGTTGGCGAGACGTCCCTGGTTCATCATCCTCTGGGATTGGGTTGTACCAAATCTCTCCCTCGTCATCTGCGTCATTCTCTTCAGCTGGGTCCACGCTCCGAGGGTGAGGAGACACCTTAGCCTGACCAACAGTTACCTAGAACAAGGTAAAAACTCAATCAAACATATGTTTATCACTGTGTTGGGCTTCTGTCATCCTCAGCCGAAGAAGCTAACCTGAGGGAGCTGTAGATGAACTGGCCGAGGCGGTGCTACCCCTTGGTGTCTCAGGTGGTCCGGAGAGGGACTGGGAGGAGGCGGCAGCTGATGGAGACCCTGGCTGCCTTCCTCCTCAGCTCCCAGCACTCCCTGCAGCTCATCCCTGCTGAACTGACCCCTTCCCTGGGAGCTCTGCTGCAACCAGTTGCGCTTCTTTGAGACGGTGATGGTGGTGTGCTGCGGCCTCCATGAAGGCGCCTCATTGGATGATCTGCTCACCTCACGGCCATTTGCACACGGTGCTTGGAAATTCTCAATGAAAGCTGAGGGAGCAGTGGGAAGAAAAAGAAATCATGAGGGTTACATCATCATGCCAGGAGATAATAAAACAATTTGGTTGGGATATAAAAAAATACACCAATTATCAGGATGATCATAATTTTAGTAATTACTGACGTGAAACTGAATTACAGAATTGAATTCCTACTCTCTGCCTACTCAAGTAATGACAAGTTGAAGAAAACATCTGTATCAAGAACCCACAGTGAGGAAATAATAACTTTCTGGAATTATACTTTTAGACATCCAAATATAGTTTTTGCTCTCCAGTATTATAAAGTCACTAAACTTCACACTTTTCATCTTTGTCTTATTTAATTTAGATGTTTTATGACTTCTGGATGAATCATCACCATCTAATTTGAATCACCTACCATAATCCCCTCCAGCACTTTGACCTTTTGACTGCAAAGTCATCCCATTTTGATTCAACTTCAGGAATTTTTGGACTCTGAATCCAAAGGAGAAACAGGGATTTTGTGCACACATCCCTGTCACAACAGCTCAGAGAAAAGGGACAATAAACCACTGACATATAAAAAGCAGAGAGGGATGGAGACATGAGTGCAGCCAAGGACAATTTGTTTGTAGTATTAATAATACTTTATAGCACGGAAAAAGGTTATGAGGACAGAACCTACAGAAAAAGGGTCATTGCTGTCAAGTTGTCCTCTTATTTTGAAAACAGGATGTTCTTATATTAAGATTTGATGTCTTTCAAGGACACTCAATGTCCCCGTAAAAAAAGATTATTTGGTGAGGCTACAAGTGTCAAAGCTTTCCACTTGGATACAAAAAAGGCCACAAGGGTTCAGACCAGATGGGGGCAAATCAAAAAACAAGCATGTTTATGTGTGTGACAGAGAAAAGGCAGCGCTGAGAGAGGGCAGGGTCTTGCTCCAACTTGTAGAGCAAGCTCATATAAAAGACTGTTTTGATCCTCTCCAGCTCTCTGACAAGCCCCTCCACATGCTTTAATGCTTACTTCTCTTAGCAGGAAAATTATTTTTTCATACATACCAGGCTGTACACCAAATTACAGACCTAAGGGGTGGGGGGCATTTTCATTTTGTACGTCACAGCCTTAGGTACAGTGTTCGCTTGTGTGGCTGTGCCATAAAACAACGAGGAAAAGTCTCTTTTAAAGAATGACAGTAGAAATAATTACAATTACAGAGTATTGCGTTCATGCTTTTGTTCTACTTTTTTATTTTTATTCTTGCTGACTAAAACCTGAAAATGGGCGGCACAGTGGCGCAGTTGGTAGAGCTGCCGTCTCTCAGCGAGCAGAGTGTCGGATCAAATCCCGACCCGGGTCGTTCTGGGTGGAGTTTGCATGTTCTCTTTGTGAATGCGTGGATTTTCTCCGGGTACTAAAGTTTCCGACCAAAAACATGCATGTTAGGCTAATTGGTACCGTATTTTTTGGCCTATAAGTCTAATTTTTTTTTGCGTAATTTGCATACCCTGCGACTTATACGACAAAGCAACTTATTTATGTTTTTTTGCTATATTTATAAACCAATTTATGGCTGAGATATGACCATTTTCATTCATTCTGACTGAACATATTGAACACTACCATTTTCAGCTGCTGGATGGCACTTGAGAAGTATAGCATGCCGTCGTGTCATGTAATAGGTAAAAATGGCTATTAATGACACAATCTGCTTGCCACAGACTGACAACATCACCCAGCTTGCCTGGAGCAACCGTCAAATCAGCTTCATTTCGCTGCGCCGCCCTGGCGAAATGCAACTAATTTGACCATTGAAATGCATTTATTAAGTAAAAGTTCAACTGAGACACACCTTTGCTATAAAGTCAAGTAAACAAATAATTTGTTTTTAGTTTGTTATCTTGTTAAATTTTCGAAGAAATGCACAGCGAGTCCACCCATGCACGCTCCTGCGACCACTATTTGGCAGCCAATCGATTTTTTTGGCACAACACCGGCCCACATTTCCGGGTTGTCAGTGGTGACGCATAAACGCGACAGAGGATGAAACCTGAAAGTGGTACAATGCCAGTAGATAAGTTTCAAAACATTATCCAGGTAACTTCTTCATCTTTCTTCTACTACAACTTTATTGGTCTTTTTAGAGATGCCAATCTCTTGCAAGGCGGCTAGTTGTGCAAGATGTTAGTTATTATGCTGTATACTTCAGCTTTCAACTACAAAAACAGCATTCCTGATCCCAAAAGTTTAAACCGCCACAGCCTCTTTAACATCTGCTTCATTTCAACTAGAACATGACCACAACACTGACAGGGTATTTTTTTAATGTATTTCATCTTTTCTGCTTTGCTTAGTTTTTCAGAGGGTTTAGATTCAGAACCTGAGCAGCTATTTGTATCATGCTGGATTTGAGGCATTTGAAGACCTTTGATATTATTTTTTTGCCCTGTTTAAAATGGAAAAATGTTGCTGGTGGTTTATCAAGTCTTGAGTTGCTGTGTGGGCCTGAGCTGCCAAGATCTGCTCATCTGCTGTGCTCTGGTTTCATCTCTTCTGCCTTGACTGGATTTTATAACCTTTTCAACGCTGGCAATAAGTAGTGCAAAACTTAGTTATGAGGAGAGAACCTACAGAAGGAAAGAAAATGGGTAATTGTTGTAAAGTTGTCCACTTTTTGGAGAACAATGATGTTCAAATTTGAAGATTTTTTTAGCCTGCCATTGATAACTTGCGGCAAATCTTGTTTTATTTTATTATTATTTTTAACTGCAAAACTAAAACAGTGGCTGAAATTTCAAGCAGATTTCAGGGGTTTGCAAAAATCAGCAAAAAGGTCCAAGGCTAACGGTGCTGCCAAGCTTCAGCAAGCAGGAAGAGAGACAAGGTGGTTGTATGGAGTTGTTATCAACATGCCGACTTCTCCAAGGGGTCTTTCATGAGTGCAAAAGGATGCATGTTCTGACACGAACAGCATTCCAGATCCCAGATCCAGATTTACTGCCTCACTGCTGTCTCCCTCCACCGTCACACTCTTTCACGGGAGAAGCAGCTTCCAAAACAAACAGCAGGCCACAGGCAGACCCTAATGAGGGAGATTTTAGCTTTTTCATTTATTTATTTTTTGTCTTTGAAAACAAGGAATTTATTGGGCAACTTTCCTTAAAAATGCCCAAGAACTTGCCCAACTTGGGTAAATAAAATGTAAGATGTATTTGAAAACTGAATCAAAGTGATGTTTTCTTAAAGGTAAATCCACAAAGGGATAATAAAAGAAAACAAAAGCATGAAATTATTTTTCTGAAGAAAAATGCAGGGTGAGGTTGATCTACAAAGAACTGATGAAATAATTTGGTTATTAGTAGTTTTTATTTTATGTATAAAAAGGTAAACAAGACTAAATAATTTTCTCAGAACAAAATAATGGTTTTAAAATCCTATAATATTAATTTTATATAATTATTTTATATAAATGCAGTAAAAACACACTTTAAGTTTGTGTATATTGAACCAAACTGGGTTATACGTCACATTTTTCTCCATTTATGCAGGATCATAGCAAACACATCACAATAAGGACGTCAACACCTCTGAAGTGTTAAAGAAAGGGATCAAATACAGGTGCATCTAAAAAATGTAGATCATTAGATTCAATCATTTCAGACAGTGTGCAGCACGGTGGCACAACTGGTAGAGCTGCTGCCTCTCAGCAAGCTGACATGGTTCAAATCCCGGACCAGGGGCCTTTCTGGGTGGAGTTTGCATGTTCTCTCTGTGCATGCGTGGGTTTTCTCCAGGTTCTCCGGTTTCCTCCCACAGACCAAAACATGCATGTTAGGCTGATTGGTAACTTTAAATTGTCCCTAGGTGTGAGTGAGAGAGTGAATGGTTGTTTGTCTCGTTTGTCTCTATGTGTCCCTGTGATGGACTTGCGACCCGTCCAGGGTGTACCCCGCCCCTCGCACAGTGATTGCTGGACATGGGCACCAGCGACCCCCGTGACCCAAAATGGAATAAACGGGTAAAGATAATGGATGGATGGATGATAGTCTATGTTTTTAAGATGCATCTGTATTACAAAAGAAAAAGAAGACGAAACCATTAATATTACAAATATCTAAAATCACTTTCTTTATGTCGGCCATGTTGAGCAAATAAATGCTGTCTTTGACTGTATGTATGCCAAAACGTATAGCAGCTTTACTTTGATTCAAACATGCGCTCAGTAACCCACACCTCTGACCTTAAAGGTAACAGATGGCCAAAGCAAACAATACAGAGCTGCACCTCTTTGTCAGAAAATTAAGAAACAAAAGAGAGAAAAGAGAGAAGTGCACAGATGGGGACTGTTTTGCTTTATAAAGCTATCAGTAAAAAAAAGCTGGATGTGACGTAGAACTCCACCATGTGAGGCTAATAGTAGATATTTATGTCCAAGTTCTGTGAGCAGCCAAACAAAACCCGTGATCCTCTTTCCCATAGATGTCTAATTTCAATTCTGAATATCTCTTTTCTTACAGAGGCTCCTACGTTGATAAGGGCGAAACACACGTCAGCTAGTCTTCTCCTCCGCTCAAACAAAAGTTTGTTGTGTACACAGAGTTTCTGAGCTCCTCTTTGAAGGAATCTTTTTGCTGTGTGCCATACATTCCTGTTGACACTCATTCATATGCTAATGAGGATTCTCCATGTAGATTTTTCTTTTCACATCGGGACAGAGCAGAGATCGCTCGGGGTTACATCACATGTCAACACTTGCATCCCACTGAGGCATACTGGCAACACTGCCTGACACTTCCTCCTCCATATGTTGGCTAGAAACCCAAATTCTTTACTAAGATGAAGTTCTTTCTCAATTCTCCCGTTATCTGTTTGGTTAAAAATAAAGAAAGGGGACAGAGCATGGATCAAATGGAAGCAAGCAACAAAAAAAATCAATTGATGTACTTTAAGAACTTACACAAAAAGGGCCATTTGATACTGATAATCACTATTCTAGTCTTTTCACCTCACTTTGCAGATACTATCAAGTGACTCATGCATCTCATAAAACCATCCTGGTACGAACCCTGATGCCTCAGATTTCTCCTCCATCATCTGATCTCTTTAGAGAAACTCATCCTAATAAATATGTCCTGGTAGACATACAAGACAAGACAAATCGTTGTGCCTCCACCCTTAGTTGTGCATTTATGGGGGAGGAAAAACACACAAAACAATAAAGACAAATAAAAAGGTAGCTAAGTAACAAGCAGAAACCAAATGCCACAACCTCCTGACAGGGTTTGACCACAGTCCAGGAGGATTCGATTACACCTGAGCTCACAACTGCAGCAGGAATCCACCAAACAATCCAATATTAATGATTAAATGTCAGGAGACGCTGACTGAACCTAAAATGTTTTTCATCCTGAAAATGAAACGGTTAGCTTGAGTTAAACTTGTATCTCTTTGCTTGCAGACATTTAAATCTGAATTTTCTAAAATTGTATTAATAAGCTTAGCGTATTTTCCGCTGTAAACGTCGCACCGCCCTATAAGTCGCATCAGTCCAAATATGTCTAAAGTGGAAAAATCCATAAATGTTTTGCCGTATACGTTGCATCTATTATAAGTCACTGATGATGCATCGCATTTGTTACCCATCACCGATGACCACCTGGAAATGTGGGCCGGTGTTGTGCCATAATTCGATGGGCTGCCAAATGTTGACCGCGGGGGCGTGCATGGGAGGACTTTTTACAATAATTTAACAAGATTAACACTTAAAAACAATTATGTGTTTGCTCAAAATTATAGTAAAGGTGTGTCTCAGTCTAACTTTTGTTTAATAAATGCACTTTGATGGTCAAATCAGCTGCATTTTCAAAAGCCGATACGCGGAAACATGAACGTGCAGAGGGACAAGTCGCTGTTTCATTTCTTCTAAATTTAACAAGATAAGCACCTAAAACAATGTGTTAGCTCAAGTTTATAATAAAAGGTGTGTCTCAGTTGAACTTTTACTTAATAAATGCACTTCAATGGTCAAATTAGCTGCATTTCGCCCGGGCGGCACAGCAAAGTGAAGCGGATTTGACAGTTGCTCCAGGCAAACGACGGTGTCAGTCTATGCCAAGACGACTGTGTCATTAATAGCCACTTTTACCTATTACATGACACAACAGTATGCCACACTACTTGAGTGCCATCTAATGGCTAAAAATGGTAGTGTTCAATTCAAAAAGCGTTCAATACAAAAACAACTGGACTTTATTTGGAACAGAAGACGTTTCGCGCCTCATCCGAGGAGCTTTCTCAATTCAATATTGTTCAATATTAGTATAGTGTTCAATATTTTCAGTTAGAATGAATGAAAACAGTCATATCTCAAACAAAAAAATTGGTTTATAAATAAGGGGAAAATCAATAAATGTGTCACTTTGGCGTATAAGTCGCAGGGCATGCAAATTATGCAAAAAACTGTGACTTACAGGACAAAAAATATGGTAGTTTAGTTGAAAACAAGGGGGAAACAAAGCTGCAACTAAATGCAATGAAATTTACTTTTAGCAGATTTGTTTTTTTTTCCCATCAGAGTTGAAAAAAAATACCTTTATTATGATTTCAAAAATATCTTCTATCTGTGAATCAGTTGACAAAGAATTTCAGGTTTTAAACATGAAATTATATATTTTTTTCCAGTTAAGCTTTTCTTTACATAAATGCAAAACATGTCCAAGGGATAATACGGTCATTTTAAAGTGATATTCTGTCATACCGTTTGCTAATGTTAGCACCTTATGAGCTGTGGCATAACTGCAGACCAGACGGTTTCCTCTGTGTTTTGTGTTTGCGTTTTAGTAAAAGTATTATTAAATTTTCATTTCCACAACTCGTCGTTTGTTAGCCTAATTTTGAAACATTAGACAAAACTAAACAAATCACCTCTCCTTGTAATCAGACTTTTTCATTAGGCTAACTAAATTAAGTGAAGCAGCAGCTGGGAGTAGTTTCAAATGTGAAAAACAGATGTGGCTGTTAATCAGTGTTAACCTTAGTAACACATGCCTGCCAGCACGCTCACGGCTCCAACACATTCAAACAAAAAATGTAAATATCTAAATGGTTAAACTTCAACATATGCACATGCACAAAGACTGTGGAAGTGTGCCTATGTGCAGAATATTTCCCAAACGTTCAGCATGCACACAAGGAGAAATACTCCAAAGTGATATACAGTAGTCCCTCGCTACTTTGCTGTTTGACTGTCGGGGACTCGTTCTTTTGCGGTTTTTCAACGATTGTCAACTTTAACATTACTTGCACGATTAGGACGGTGCAGATAAAAAGTTAACGAAAAACTTTGGACAGGTGATGACATTTTGTAGTTTTCTTTCAGTAAGACTACACTGTAATGCCTGTCCAAAATGACTACATTACCCAGAATCCAACAGTGCTTCCAGACGCTGCTTTCTACCGAAATGGAGGGAAAGTTTTGATCCAATCTGAACCTACCTAAAAAGTTTGATCCTTATTCATAGTGACTTCGGGGCTCAGTGGATGCAGAGAGCCGTACGGAACCGGACCAGAACTGGACCAGAACTGATGAGTTCCTCATAAAATTTTGCAGTACTGTAGCTACTGTGCAGTACATATACGTATGTTGTTAAAATTGCATAGGTTTAAGAGTTTAGAACATTGCAAGAGTGTGGGAAAGGGTTCTAAAACCTTTAAATATATATAAATACTAAAATAAATATAGCGTTTCTACTTTGCGGTTTTTCACTTTTTCAAGTGGAGGTGTCCGGAACGTAACTCTTGCGATAATCGAGGGATTACTGTAATTCCACACCCTCTGATTAAATAACAAGTTAGGGTAGAAACATATGAAATCAAATTTTGCTAAGCTAAATTGTTTCTTTCACGACTTTAAAATGAAGTTCAATTCCCAAACAACACTCAATGGGCAAAACAAGTCTGTGTTCAGAAGGCTAATAATATTAAAAAGCTGCATGAATAAAGTGAAACATAATGCTTAACCCAAGCCAAGCAATTTGAGCTTTAGAGAACTTTGTCCTTTTTCCTCCCTAAATGGCTCTTTGTAAAGTGTTAAGAGCCTCACAGTGGCATGATAAGCCCAGGGCTGACCTTAATGAATACTTAATCACCTTTGATTTTGTTCAGTCATGGTGGGGAATTGAGTGACAACGCAAACAAGTTAAACAACAGCAATGGCATCCAAAAAATTCCATCCCAAGTCTCTTTAAAATGCTGGTTACCATGGAGCTGTCAGGAGCAAATGACTGGGGAGGAAGGCGACATGACAGTATAGCCCCCCCTACTCAAACAAAACACACACCACAACCACAGAAAGTTACTGCCCTGGCGTCTCTCCTGGTTCAGATTCCTCTGGCTAAAGCTGTGGAACAGTTCAGTGGAGACTACGAGCAGGGAAAGCTATAACTGGGGAAAAAATGAGAATAAGAATTGGTGTGAATGCATGGAAACTACCAAGTTCTGATTTTTTACTGAACTAAAAGGTGGTTGAAGGTAAAAGTGGAGCAATAAGAAGGTCAACAGTGGCGATAAATCTTTCTCTGCCACATAATCCCAGTGATCTGTTTCTAACAGTGCAGCACTGATAACAGGCTGGGCACACAATAATTCATCTGTGTACTGCCGTGAACACTGTCACAACAACTCACAGACATGCTGGTACTCACAGATACACAATTTTACATACACATTACTTTAGGAGGCCAGACAACTGGTGGTAAAATGAAGAATGGTACTGTTTTGATTCATAGAACAAGGGTATTTCTTCATTCTGTGCAACAAACACAGTTCCTGATTCTTATAATTGAACTGGCTGAATTTTTTATGAGATTAAATCAAATCAGAATGGATAAAATACTACTTTGTTTTTAGCAAAAATATCTGAATAGCTTTCAAAATTTCAAGAATGATCTTTTAGTATGAACTCTTCAGCCAACACAACAATTACTTTTTTTTTTTTTTACTTCTAAACTTGCTCTTTTCCTATGGTATGGAATTTTATGGGGGCCAAGATGGGGTAGAGGCAGGGCAGCCGACCCGGGACCTGAAAGTCCAGGTTGCCCCAGCCTGTCCCACATGTGACGTCTCTGAGCAAGACACCTACTCTCCAATTGCTCCCCAGGTGCTTACATAGCTGCCCACTGCTCCACCTGGGTGTATCCCAGGTGTGATGAGTTAAATGCAGAGAACCAATTTTGCCATTGTATGGGAACATACAATGATGACAACACATAGCACTTTACTTTTACTTTACTTTATACAGGTAGTTGAAATCCAACCTAAACAGTTTTTTTTCTGACAGCATGTCACTTTTTACCCACTGTGGTCTCATGATACAGACATTTTCATGTCTTCACACACGGTTGCAAACAAACCATCAAAACATAAGTAGAAAAACATTTGCATGTTGCTCACATTCGGGCAATGTGTTGTTACTCAACATACAAGCCCCCACCACCATCACCACAAAGACCACTCTAACAGGAGAGCGAGTTAGTTGTTACTGATCTACGCTGTGAGTAATCTGCTCTACAAACTGGCGTGTGATTAATTTAGTGTTAAAATGCACCTAAATTAGTGTGAAGGACAGAAACCCGCCACCCGCTATAGCATCTTTCAAATAGAAAGCAAGAGGTCTGAGATGTCTCGTCCCTTTGCTTTGCATCCAGCAGAGGAGGAGTGCAGGATGAACCGCCACCAGACGAAGTTTACTACAAGTGGAAGTGGATGACAACAATCAGACGAGGAGGAAGAAGGATGAGGGGTCTCTGGTTTAGAGGATGCCCTGGAGTTGAAGCCACATCGTGTAGCCTTCCTACCTGGCTGCAGCTGTCTTGGTGTTTTCACTGTGGATGACTTGGTCTTGACAGATTTACCACCACGGACACATGTCTGGGTCCCTGGTCTGAGGTTAGCCTGAAGAGAGGCCCGGTCCTGAGTCTGGCCTCCACCGCGAGGCAAAGACGAGCCTTCAATGCGCTGTTTCATCTCAGACGACAGCAAGCGACCCTTGTGCATCCACTCCTGCATCTTGTTGACGGTGACTCCGTGGGCTTTGTTGGCCGAGTTAACGACCTGCGTTCGGACATCAGCCTGTTCCTGCTTGGTCTCCTGATCTTGATGTGTTGCTAATACCTCTGTGTTGCTGTCAGAGGAACCCGTGAGGCTGTTAACCGAGCTGCTGCTCTCATTGAGCTGCTCAGCTTGGTCCTCCTCACCTCCAGCACCTCGTAGCTCCTCACTGCTGATGCCGCTGCAAAGAACATACGGTTCAGGCAGCCCTTCGGCTTTTGTGACCACAGCCTTTAATGTCTCTGAAGCTCCTTTATCATCATAGGCTTCTGTCTGGACAGGAGATGTGGGTTTGCTTTGATACCTGATAGCTCCATCACTTGCAGAGCGCAACATTGTGGGCCGTATGGTCAAAGACAGATTGCTCATGCTCTTACTAGTCAACCTAGACTTTGACTCTAGGTTCCCAGTGAGGCAGAGAAGGAGCGATTCAGTGTCAGATCCATGCTGAGAACTGTGGTTGCCTCCTGATGACCAGGAGTCGCTGTCAACATTTTTGACAGACAACCTGGAGCACAAGCTGTCCCTTGAGTGGCTACTACAGGAAGAGGTGGCTTGCTGTGCCGCTAAATCTTCTCCAATCTGCTGGAAATCTAAGCTGATATCATTCATGGCATTGATAAGGAGGTAGTAAGCCTCTTGCAGCTGGTTTCGGAGCCTGTCTGTTTCATGGGCGCTATTACAGTTAATCACCTGCCCTTTATCCTGACCAGGTTCTTCAATATCTTCCCTATCAACGTTAGTTTTTGGTCTAGCTGTTTCATAGAAGGGTAAAATTTCATTATCATAGTAATCATCATCTTCACTATCTAAAGGGTATCTGTGGGACCCCTGTGTGGAGCACAAAGATGTCCTTTTAATATCACAAATTTGTAACTCAGTAGGGAAAAATGGACTCTGAGGACTGCCTGCTGTTTCTCTAGTGTCCCCTAAACAGTCAGGTCCATAGCTCTCAATGTTTCTTATTACAACACTTTCCTCTGCGCTTACTGCACACTTTGGATACACAGCCGCTGCGCAACTTGGAGAATTTGTCTCCAAAGTTGGACCGCTGTCAAAAGTCCAGTTGGACCTGCTTTCCTGTCCAGCCCCCACAGTTCCTGCCATGTGGGACAATCCTCTGAGCTCTGTCCCCGCACCGACACAGCTCGCTGCGGGTGTGAGGGCCCCTGGGTGTTGCGCCTGTACCTGCGCTCGCTCCAGCACATGACAGGAACTGTCCCCGAACCCGATGGAGTCCCCGACGCTGCGCTGCCTCGGCACCGAAACGAAGTGTTTCATCTGGACATAGGGGCTCCCCGCTGCGGCTCCGGGCCCCCGGTGGCCCCTGCTTTCCTCCCTAAACGCGTTTTGCGCATCTGTTCGACGCGAAGCGACTGCCGCGCAGCGCTCCGGAACCACCGTGACCCCCTCTGCTTCCACACAATTCTCGTACGTACTCATTCTCTCAGCCGTCAAATCCATCCCTGTGAGCACAACTACCCGCAGAGCCTCGTCCAGGTCTCGCTGCGTCTGCAAAACTTTTTCTTTACCTCCTCGGCTCCCGTTGGCCGCCGCAGCAGATCCGAATCCACCGCCGCAGCCGCCGAGCGTCGCTCCTTTTTTGGTCTTTTTCCCCCGGAGTTTCGCTAGTAAAGTCCTCCGCAGAGGATCAGCCATTCCCTTCCTGTCCCCCCCGTCCAGATGTAGCTTCTCCCGGTGTCTTTCAGCACGTTGGCTCCGGAAGGGAAGGACCGAGAAGCTTGTCCCCGGTCAAAGCTCGCGGAGCGGACGGGCTGCTCTCCATTCTCCGCTGTCACCTCTCCACTGCTCCACTGCTCCACCCCTCCCCGTCCTGCTTTCTCTCTCTCTGTGTTATGCACGCGCATGCACAGACACACACTCCTCTATTCTCCCTCCTCTCTAGCGCCGCGCCTCCTCGTGTTTGCAGCTCAGATGTTTGAAATATTTCCTTGGTTCAAAGTCCACACAGATTTTGAGTTTGAGTTGGGTTTGAAAAAAAAAAAGAGAGAGAGAGAGAGAGAGAGAGAGAACAACAGTACTTATTTAAAGCCACTTATTGCAATCTCATGAAGACCAGATCCAAAAAACACACACACACAAAAACAAGTGGGAAACATCTGCACATCAAGGTCAAGGTGTCTTTATTGTCATTCACATGTGTCACATGATGTGGAGCAAAAGTTACATCCAACAAAATACAAATTGTAAAGAAAAACAGTAATAAGATCCAAGATATGAACTAAGAAATACGCTAAACTTAGAATACGCTAAGCACCAATAGTACAAAACAATGCACCAAACAGCAGCACGAACATGAGTCTGTGTGAGCAGATGAGGACGAATGAACACAGCAGCATGAAAATAAATCAGCAGCATGAGATCAGCATCATGGATAGTCAGCAGCACATAACCAGGTAGCATTACAGTATTCTGCCTGAGGGGAGCGGGGCAAAAAGTGTGTGTGCTGGGTGAGTGGGGTCCTTCATGATGCAGGTGGCCCTCTTCCTTTATTTAGGCAGTCAAAATGGCTGAAAATAGGTCACCCATTATGGGGACACCGCCTTTTGGCATCAAGAAGTCAGATTTTTTTTTAATGTATTTGTATTTACGCTCAGATTTGTTGAGTAAATAATGCATCTTTAGTTACTTTGTTTACATTGAGTGCGTACCTGCATTTCAGAATTGCATGTTGATTTTATCTGAAGAACTGCTGGAGTAAAAGAACTTTCAAACAAGCTTAGGTCGGAAAACCTTTTATATGTTTGATTTCTTACTTTGCAACGAGTACCTTTTTAACTTTCAGCCTACCAGTATATGATTTTTAAATAACAAAGTGTCTGAACACAGTTCATTTACAGACAGGGGACAGATTATGTTTTCTTACAACCAAACTCAGAGGTCAAAGTGGATGCAAATTCAGCCACTTGATCAAAACAGCTACTTTATTGTCCCTGGCGTGACTCTAAAAAATGGTTTAGAGAGCAGTGAAGCTGCACTTTAAATTACCGTTGCTGTTAAAGCATTTCAGCAAACAGCTGCGAGAACAATCTTCATCTCAGGGGGAAATATGTGCCTAACTCTCTGCTGAGAGAGAACGCCAGAAAAATGTCTGCCTCAGCAGGAAACAGTAAGGAGGATGGTCATTAACTACCCACACGTTCACTTTACATCATCTTTGACTTTTTCCAAACGATCAGGATTTTGTCTGTCACGGGGAATTAGTCTCCTCAAACTTTAATCTTTATTACTGCTTGCACTAAGGCCAATTTATATCCCCTTTGGTGAAAACTAGAACCTAAAAAGCACGGCCTTCATGATGGATCACAGTGACACTTTCATCTGAAGTGTATCTCGACTAATCCTGTCATTTCTTGACCTTGCACATGACCCCTGTCCCTGCTTGTAGCACAGCCGGAAGCTTCGAGAGCATCCGAGACGGCGGGGAATGGAATGGAGCACGTTTTACTTGATTTTTTTAAACTGTTTGCTGTTGCTTAGAATGAGCTGCTGAAAAGCTGCAGTGGGTGTGAGTGCACATGCGCACTGTATACCCCTTCAGTGCTCGCACACCAACACACACTCCGATTCAATCTGTACTCCTCTTGGCTGTCTGTTTCTAAAGTGACAATGTCTGCCCGTGATTGAAGGCATTTATTGTCGGAGCCAATAATTGATTTAGGGCCCCTCCCTCCGCCTGCACCCACCCTCAGTAAAACATGATAAGCATCTGTTATTGCCCTGCAGGAGCCATGTAGGCCCCGAAGCCACGTCCTGCCTCTCCGACTGACTGACTAGACCCTGTCTGGGCAGTTATTTACAGGTCAAAACCTGCAGGCTGTGGCTCTGAAGTGTGTGTTTGTGCATGAAAGAGAGAAAAAAGGGAAAGCGTGGGGGGAGAAGATGGGGGCGTCGAGGGATAAGACGACAGATGCAGTGGAAGAATGCAGAAGTTTGGTCTGAGCAGACGTGCCATTAGTGCAATTTTCTCGCTGAAGATTACCCCCATTTTTCCAAATATTTGCGGGGATGTTAAAAGAACTGAACTGAAGCAAAGGAGTTGAAGCGCTCGGACGACGTTCAGCCAGGATGAGAACAAATGACTTCAACTTCATTATTCCTTTTACTACAGGCTGCTCCTTCTTCATATTTAACAGGTGTTTTAGACACACTGACTAACTGTGTGAATGTTGATAAATCATTCTCACTATTGAGACACATTTTTCTTCTGTACAATTTTCGGCACATAACTCGTCCCAGAATTTTTGTGCTATTTCTACAGTTCATGTATCAAAATGTTCATCTCATCCAGAACATTCCTGCTGTGACTTTTGGTGTTAGTGCAATTTTATACTTTGAAAATTTTTGCTTTTTTGGGAATGTTTTTGTCTTCACATCCATCAAACCCTTTGTGCGTTTTAAAAACCATTTACTGCTAATTTCAGCTTTTATCAGCTCCTTTCTACTTCTTCTCTTTTCAGCTATTTTGAAGTATATTTTACTAATTTTAAGCTTTTTTTCTT